TTCTCTCTGATCCTCTCTCTTTGCAGAATCTCAGCTGCCCTACGGCTCCCGTATCACCTCCATGTGAATAGCTTCAAATTCTTTTAAATTTTTTTTGCACAAAAATTGTATCTCTTCAAGATGTATCACATGCTGATTTGACTAGTGAAGTGATTACCCAGCTCAGCTAATTCACACGCTTTCTCTTCACATAGTTACCGTTTTTCTGTGTGTGATGAATGAGCACCTGGAACATATTCTCTTAGCACATCTCCAACATTCATCACGTATTGTTACCTGTCGTCACCGTGCTACACCGGGGCTCTGGGCTTATTCTTCCTACGTAACTGCAGCACTGGACCCTTTAGCCAACGTCTCCCCATGTCCCCGCTGTGTGCCCATGGTAACCACCAGTCTACTGTCTGCCTCTGTGCATCTGACTTTTTCAGGTTCCACATGTAAGTGAGATCGCGCAGTTTTTCCCTTTTAAGAGGAAAAGTGTCTCTGCCCTCACAGCCCACGGTCCTATGGGGTCCGGGCCACGTTCTCCACTAGCCAAGGCTTTGACATCACTGGCTGGCCTTTTACTTCATTCCTATCCCCTTCCGTCTGTCATGAATCCTGTTACTGCCGTGGGGATCCTCCCAGAAGGCAGCCTTGATCACTCTGCCTCTTGACAAAAAAAAAAAAAACCTTCAATGACCTTCCTGCAGACTGAGCACCAACGTCCTTAAGGTGAGAAAAATATCCAGGATGCAGTGGTCCTGTTCCCGGCACAGCGTCACTCCTCCCCTGCCGCATACCCTCCTACAGCTCCTCGAATGCCTCAGGTACCTTCCTGCCTCCCGCCATGTGCACAGGTTACTTGGACCTGCTTGTCTCCATCTACATCCCTCTACTCTCTCAACTCCTACTTCCGTCTTTCACCTGGTCAGATCCTACTTTGTATCTCAGTTTAAATGTGATGTCCCCAAGGAGGCATTCGCAGACCCCATTCCAGACCCAGTAGTGCCTTGCCCTTTTCCTGCAGGACATTCATCACAGCTATGATTATACGATCAAGTATATGAACATTCGCTAATCATCAATTCCCACATTAGATGCAAGCTTTCTCGGGGACAGAGCATACGTGAGTGTCTGTCTGATACCCAGTGCGATGACACATAAGCCATTTCTCATCCAGCTGGCCGCTTCAGCTGGGCTACTCCCCTGAATACCCAGACTCACAGCCACACTGAATTTTCTTTGGCTCCAGAGCAGAGTGTGCATTTGCTTGCTTGCATGTCATAGAATGCCATCCCCCGAATGTCCGCACCCTGTCTGCAGTGTCTCCTCCTCCCTGGAGCCCTCCAGTAATACTTCTACAGAGCCATCTGGCTACAGCATTCAATCTCTCTCGCCCCGGTTTGCTCATCCTTTCTTAAGGATGCTGTTAGTGCTACCTCATAGGATTGCTGTGACCAGTAAATGGCTTATCTGTATAAAGTGTGTGGCTGTCACCCTGAAAAGGCTGTCTATAAGTTGGTATCTTTGCTGAGGGTTTGAGGGGTCGCAGGAGACACCACATCTTATGCAACACATTTCCCCAGTTTCCTAGGTCACCTTCTACTCTCTTCTCCCTCTTCCTCCCTTCCACAACCTGTATCGTGGAGTAACTGAGAAATTCTCCGCTTCCCTTCTCACCCAGCACAGGCCACCAACACCCAGATCCCTCCAGGAGCTCCCTTCTAATCCCAAATACTGTCAGGATATCTTCCCAGAGATATGCAGTGCTCTTCTTCAAAGGAATGCTAATGCAACCTGCTGCTAACCCTTTCCACTCCTGCTGGAATTAGAGCTGGATTCTCTGTGCCTAATGCCTCAGACACTTAGGAGGGATTTCATGTTTGTGAAGTGAATGAATAAGACTGAGATCCACAAAAGTAAAATGTATATGCCCTTTTATGCATTTTTCAGTCATTCACAAATATGTATCGAATGCATGGAATTTCTAAGTTTTGTTTTTAGATTCAGATATGAAGTGCGGCCCCACCTAAAGCTGTTTCCAGTTTAGTGGCAGCGACAGGGCAAGGGAGAGACCGCTTTGCCTTTCCTCACAGAAGGGCAGGAGATGCACCTGTTAGAGGAGCCCTGTCTGCAGGCGCCCATCCCCGCCCTGGAAGCCCCGCCTTGCGGGAGTGTCCCTTTACTTGGGACTCAAAGTGGGACAAGGACTTTCCTAAAACTTCAGAATGAAGGTCCACAAGGAGGAAAAAAGTCTGTAACAGCGTCCCAGAAAGCAGTATGGTTAGCCTTCCTGTACCTCCGAAGCCAGTTTGTATCATCTTCCTGCTTAAATTTAAAGAGACAACCTGAAAATAATATTTCCACAGAGCACTCTGCTTCTAAGGCTGGCGACACGGAGAGCCCCCGTGGGGTTCTAGTTCAGCTCATGACTTTCTCTGTTATCCATAGGAAAGATATTTTTAAATATGAAAAAAATCAAGAAATTCAAAATAGGGGGAAATGAAGGCAGTACTATCATTTTTTCAAAATGTCCTGCTTCTGCTGTCTTTTCTGGGTAACAAGATCATTGCCATTGTTTTATGTGTTAAATTGTCCAGTGAAAGATGGCGAAAAATGTGTACATATGGCGGTATTTACCTCCGTATTCTGAACGTCAAACCTTAGGCTATTATTAAAGGTTCCATTTTCAGCAAACCAAGCAACCGATACCAAAAGAAAATGAAAGTTATTCAATCATCATCTGAGCCGATAATGCCATCCTTTGTCTGTTGCCTTCCTTCTATGATCTGTTAGTACTGTTGCCAAGAGCAACAATATGTCAAGAAATTCCATCCCTTGATGATACAATAAAATTTCTGTTGAAAGCGTTTTATTAGGAAAGTCAGTCTCTTCTTCCTAAGAAGCACGAGTTGTTGGTTTTTAAACCAAGACCTCTTGATTCTTTCATTCTACTATTGCTGAAGTTAGTTTTCTAATAACCTTGTTCCATTTTCAAATATTAATGTGCACTATTTCTGTGAACTGGGTTGTTTAAGAGCTCTTCACATTGTCCGTTATTAAAACAACCAAAAGAACAGTTTCTGATTAAATAAGTAGGACACAGGAACGGAAACAGCTATATGTTTAATAAGATCTCCGTGTTCCGATCACGCTGCGCACTCCACGTGAGTCACTCTGAATTCTGAGGGGAGGGTATCATCTGAGTGCCTGTCACCATGTCCACTAGTCAGGGGTGGATAATATTCATACTGTGGAAGTGATGGAAGCTAATTAACTTCGGCGATGCCTCTGATGACGCTGTCAGTAGCAGCCACCTTGTCACAGGCTGGAGTGACTCTCCTTTGGCTTTTTGTTCTTCCATTTCCACAGCCGCCCATGACCCCCCTCATTATCAGCCACTCACTGTTCCTCCCTTTCTCAGAATGCAGGCGAGGCGGCACACGCCTCCGGGTCCTGTCCTGCAGGGCCCTGTAATGAAAGACCGCCGGTACACGGCCATTTGGGTTACGCCTGCTTGGAACCTGGAGTCAGCGGGACGTGTTCGAGGTGGGAGCTCGGGCTCCCGCCTTGACCTCGCCTGCTTTCTACAGGACCGTGGCCAAGTTATATAACTTCCCCACGGCTCATTTTCCTCTTTTCTAAAATGACAGGGTGGGAGTCGGTGAAATACTAAATTCTAAAATGTCTGTGTTCTTATAAGAGAGAACTGTGTGTTTTACTTCTGACATCTTTACTGCCTCAGTACACATAGGCAAAGTGATCTTCAAACTGGGCTCTGAGACGTCAGGTACTTTCATACAAATTTATGAAAAATTTTATTTGAAAAATACCAAAAGCCCAAAGATAGAAAAATCATACATGTACAATTCCTCTACTTAAAAACATACGTGTAAAATTGAAGTTTCCATTTCACCCCACTGGTCTCTCTGTATTAATAGCATGTGGTGCAGAGTCCTCCCAACCGCTCTAACGAGCACCTCAACCCCGGAGTTGCCACGGGCGTCACCAAGAATTGTGCAGTATACGTTTATGCACTAGACATGGCAGCTCTACGGTTACTTTTCCAAAATGGTTTGACAGGTCAAGTATCTCCATTTTGAAAATCTTTATCATCCTTAAAAAGTTTTTAATGACGCAGACACAAGGAACAATGATGTTACTGCTTAATACTTGGGAACACGTGCTAGTACTTAGTTTGTTAAACGGCAGGGGTAGTGATGAGAAGAAAAGAGAAAAAAAACGGAAGAGAAGAAAACAGACTGTGGGGACATACCTTGGTTCTCTTTTTGGAGGAAGGTATGAAAGCAGCATCTCTGTGAGAGGTCCATGTCTGACAAGTGTGCGAGATGCTTGACATTTAAAAAAGAAATCCATCTTCATCACATATTACTCGTTGCGTATTCTGAATAAGAGTTATTTGGCAAAGGCACGTGTCCAGTGAAGCGTGGAGTGTTTCGGGGGTGCCTGGCACTCTGTGGGCAGCACTGAAGGCTGCCTCTCTGGCTAGTTAGGGAATATGTATTTCCCAGCAGGAGAGAGCCCTTAGATGAGGGTGATCAATCAGTTGTTCTTCAGGGACCCCATTATGGAAATCACTGGTTTAAATCTCAGCCTTGGGGATTCATGGGCAAGCAATTCACTGTAACCTGTAGTACCCTGGGGGAAAAACTCTGCGTTAATACATTAAGTTAACCTGATTTTTCTCATCTTCAGGGACTCAGGTAATCCAAGGCTGGAGGAAAAATTTCTCGAGTTCTCATGGAGTGAGCAAACTCAGCCCCTCTTTTTTTCTGGAAACCCCTTGCTCTGCTCCCACTCTGTATTTCACACCCTCACCTGGTGTTCCTTCTTCCTCAGTTACTGCCACACAGTCCTAAACCACTTCTCCTCCTGGACAGCCCTTCCACACCCTCGCAGTCCAGGCTCGTAGACTAGCTCCTGTGGAGCACCCCACCTCCGTCAGCTCCTCCACTGCTAGTCAGAATCAGTAGCCTTTCCTTTCCGGTTTCTGAGCTTCACTGCTGACAGATCAGTCGACAAGATCATCTTCTTCTTAAGGGTGGAGACGGTGTCCAGAGTATCTGCATTTCCCATCTGCAAGCCAAACAGTGCCTGGCCGATGGGAAGAGTCTAGAAATATTTGATGCGATCATAAGGACAGTATGGAAACCTGGTGGGAGGCTGCTTGCTTTAGAAACGTACACAGACAGCCTCCATCAGGTAATCTTTGTTTTCTGAACCTTAGGTTCAGGTGACCTTGATTCTTCGATGATGTTGGACACTGGAGAGATCATTGATACAGGATCTGATTATGAAGATCAGGTAATTAAAATCTAAAAATGTTTCTGTTTAAATGTTTTTAATTTTAGTCTTTCTAAATGTTTCATGAAAATTGGAGTTATTAATCATTCTGTGAAATGTTTCCAGGTAACTAATAACATTGTCCATGATAAATCATAGTAGCTCATAGCTTTTATTCACTAACTTTGGCCCTTTAGGCCTCCTGTATCCACAGACTCAAAATGGCAATTAACTGAGGAAAGATCTGTGGTCGAGAGTTACATGAGATAGAAGTGAGGTTACGTGAGGTTCCCTTGCCCAGCAATTTGCCTGTGTCTTGATCCCTTTCCAATAACAAACTGACAGTATTAACTACGCATTGACTACAGGCTCAGGGACCTGCTTTTCTCTTCCTAATCTTTGAAAGGGACTAATGACCAAGGACAGCATAGCCAAGAAGTTAAAGGTATTTTCTATTTGAATAAAACCAAAGAAACGTATCTGGCTCATTTTCCTCTCGGCAAAGGAACTCTTCCTACTGCTATGTTTTAATGATCCAAAATAGTTGGCAAATGTTCCCATTCTCCAATTAGGCTGTGTTTTTTAAAAAGAACAATGTCTGAAACTTCCTTCCACCTCTCAACAGTGCTCTTCTGCAGTGGCTGAAAGCCAAGTGAACATGTTCATCTGGGGTTTTTTTCACCCATTTTCAACTAACACATGTCATGAGTAAAGCAGATAAATCTGACCAGTGTCCAAATATAATGGCTGTCTCTCCGTTTCATGTACGTGTTCAGAAGCTATTTTCATGAGCATTAAGTTTCTTCTATTATATCACAAAGCAAGGAGAAGACATTGGCAAGTATTTAAAAATATTTTTAGTGTTTATTAAGCACTTTGTACATAGTAAACGTTGCGCTAACTTCCTTAACTTGATTATCTCGCTAATTCTTCACGACATCTCTCGGAAATAGGAATTACTGTCTTTATCTCCCAGATACGAGAATGAAGTCTCCAAGAGTAATTTGCCCAGAGTTACACAGATGGTTTCACAGTGAAGTGAGCTTCGGTCACCTTCCCTAACACACACATCTCCACCTCCCATCCTGACCTCCAAAGACAAGCCATTCAGTGGTGCATTTTGGGAGCCTTTTCAGTTGCTAACCCTTAAGACCCCAGCAGAGGCAAATGCCAGATAATCACTATGAAAAGTGAGCTCATCATCCAAAATTACAGACCACACAAAGAAATGACTCATAACAAGAAATCCAGCTGATTAAACAAATGGAAGGGCTCACACGCCAAAGACTAGAGATAACAGAAGAGTTGGAAAGAAATCTTAATATAGGAATATTTAAAATATCCAAAGAGATAAAGAGAAGATTAGAAACCATGAAACAAGTGCAGGAGACAATGGAAAGGAAAAGGCAGGAAGGAAAAGGGGGGATGAAATAGAAATCCTAAGCACAAAAACATTGTCATTGTAATAAAAATTCAATTAACGAGTTGAAGAATAGACTAGACACAGCTGAAAAGATAATGGTAGAGCTGAGGAAATTGCCTCAGAATAAAACAGAGGGCTAAATCATTGTCAAATATAAGAAAGAACTTAGGAGACATTGAGGATAGAATTATTTGTTCAACCTGCTCTGAAAGGAGTTCCAGAAGGAGAAGGTGGAGGGGATGGAGCAGAGCTGCATTATAGCAGATGATGGTTGAGAATATTACAGAGATGAGAGAAGACAAGTCCCCATATTGAAGGAACACATCTAGTCCTGAGCAGGATAAAAAAATTCCTCACCTATTCTTTTCTTGTTTAGTCATTCAACAAATATTAATAGAGCACCTACTGTGTGTCAGGTACTGTTCAGTCACTTGGAATATCTAACTATATAATTCAGGCAAGGAACTTTCATCCTGATGGGGAAGACAGATAGTAAACAATAAACATAATATAGTCATAAATTAATAACTCAGTAAATTCTCACTCAGAAATAAAAAATAATAAAATAATGCCATTTGCAGCAACATGGATGGACCTGGAAACCATCATTCTAAGTGAAATAAGCCAGAAAGAAAGAGGATAACACCATATGATATCAATTATATGTGGAGTCCACAAAAAAAAGACAAATGAGCTTATTTACAAAACAGAAACAGACTCACAGACGTAGAAAATTAGGGGAAGGGGGTGGAAAGGGATAAACTGGGAGTTCAAGATTTGCAGATACTAACTATTATATTTTAAATAGATAAACAACAAGTTTATACTGTATAGCACAGGGAATAATATTCAATATCTTGTACTAACCTACACTGAAAAAGAATATGAAAATGCATATGTGTATGTATATGTATGACTGAAACATTATGCTGTACACCAGAAATTGACACACTATAAACTGACTCTACTTCAATAAAAAAATTATTTTAGTGGGGAGGGTATAGCTCAAGTGATAGAGTGCTTGCTTAGCATGCATGAGGTCCTGGGTTCAATCCCCAATACCATCAAAAAACTAACTAAATAAACAAACCTAATTACCTCCTCTCTGTTAAAAAATTTTTTTATTGTTTTAGTTTTAAAAAACAAAATAAATAAATGAGTAAATTCTCTAGACTGGTAAGTTCTATGAGAAGAAAAAAATGTAGAACTGGGTAGGAGGATTAGGAATGCTGGGGTGGGGGACAGATTACAGTATTAAATAAGATAGGCAGTATGAACTAGGATGGCCTCATTAAAGAGGTGAGATTTGAGCAAAGACTTGGCATGTAGCGTAAAACATCAGAACACAGAAAACAAAATAAAATATTAAAAGTGAAAAGGCACAAAGGCACAGCAATTTGGGGGGCAGCAGATTAAACTGAAGCAAGTGCTGCATGTATTGAGTACCTACTATGAGCTAGAGACACTGTGTTCTATGGTTTACGTGCATTATTGCTAATCTCTACAATAACTCAAGAAGGCAGCTCTGTTTATCCCCAATTTACAGCTGAGAAAACTGAAGCTCATACAAGTTCAGTGACTTCCCAAGACTACACCGGTGACAAGCTGTAGGCCCAGAAATCAAACTATGATCAGCCTGGCACCAAAATCTCGTTTATACTTTCACCACTCCAAACAAAGCCACTGTCAAAGTCACTGGTAGTCTATCACCAATTCCAGTTAATACTTTTTAAGTTATCTTTCTTGACCTTGGCTGCCTTTGATTCAGCACGCTTTTACTGTAAAGGGCCAGGCAGTAAATATTTAAGGCTTTGGGAGCCATAACATCTTCGTTGCAATTACTCAGACCTGTCGTTGCGGTGCAGAAGTGGCTGCGACTACACTTAAACAGGAGTACGGCCGAGTCTGAGTAGAGCTTCATTTATGGACACTGAAATTTGAATTCCACATGTTTGCATGTGATTTATTTCAACTATTTAAAAATGTGAAAGCCATTCTTAACTGAGAGGCTGAACACAAACAGGCAGCAGAGTGGATCTGACCTGAGGACCGCGGCTTGCTGACTGCAGTTCTAAACCAGCCCCCTTCTTGACACTCTCCTCTCCATTAGCTTCTAGTATTTCTACATTATTTAATACTGTTCTAAGTGCTTCACGTATTACCTCATTTTTATCCTGAGACAATTACATGAGATTGATATTATTATCCCCATTTTACTGTTAAGGGAACTGAGGCACAGAGATGTTAAGCAGTTTACTTAAGGTCACACAGCTGGCAAGAGGTAAAGACAGAATTCAAACACAGGCGTCTGACTGCAGAGCCAGGATCAGGAGAGACAGGTGCGGCTCTGCGATGGTAACAGATAAAACTCAGAATCTGAGTGCTTTCCTTCCAGAGGTCCTTTAACATGTGACTTCCAAAGAGACCATGGATGGGAAGGAAAAAAGCATGGGGAAAGGAGACCCACTCTTAACTGCACTTTACCTCACCCCACAATCATTTTATGTCCCCAGTCGCTGGCTCTCCCTACATGCAGAGGCTGGAAAATGGAACTTACTTATGTGTCCAGGAAGGGAGAAATGGGTTTAGGGAGTATCAGGCCAGCCTGAGCCACAAAGCTCTTGCCCCTCCCCTGCAATGTGTTCTCTCTCTCACAGTCCTCGTCCTTCTTGGTTTACTCATCCTTGGTTTCCTTGCTGAGCTCCTCTCCATTGGTCCATTCTGTCAGTTGGGTGCCTCCCAGCATCCTGGCCATGGTCCCTTCACTCCGCCCTGCACACGTTCTCCTTTGAGAAGCTGGACCACAGCCGTGATTTCCGCTTTACTCGGAGCTCACTGGTGAGCTTCCAATGCCTATGTCTGCCTGCTAAGCAGCACTGGTTGTATTTCCCCTGTGCATCTCAAACTCTACACATCCAAAACTGAACTCGCCATCTTCCCCCACAAAAGCTGTTCTTCCTCCTGTTTTTGTGAATTTCTATGAATGACAGCACCATCCTCCCAGCTGTCCAAGCCGGAGACAAGGGTGTCTTCTTAGCCTCCCTCCTTTTTCCTCTCTCCCTGCATCAGTTGGATCAAGAAGCTGGTCAGTTCTGTGCAGGCATCACTCCCTCCCTCTGCAGTTCCACTGTCACTGCCCTGGTCCACACCCTCATCCTTCGTCCCCAGGACCACTGACACAGTCTTCTAACCAGTCTCTCTTCCCCAGGCTCCTCACCCATCAAAATCATCTTGCTGAAAAGCGAAGCCAATCATCACAGTCCATTGCTCAAAACTCTTCTTGGTTCTTCACTGATGTCAGAATTAAATTGGAACCTCTTGTCATAATACATGGGAATTTTCAAATTACAGTCTGACCCCATCCCTCCCTCCCTCCCCAAACTCATCCCTTGCCAATCACCAAAACACACGGAATGCTCCAGCCACATCCATCCATTTGCAGTTCCTCCCAAGTGGGTTGTGCTTTGCACAATCTCTTTCCTCTACATGGAAGCTTCCACAACCCCAGAACCCCTATGCCAGACAACCCCTACTCATGCTCCATCAGGACCACCCTTCTCTTTGACTAAGCACTTCTCATTGCACATTTGATTCACCT